TGTGTTTTCTTTTTTGTGTTTGTTTACTACATTCCACATTTCTTCATTCATTTTTGTTGCCTTCAGTGAGAATCTACAATGTAAAGAAAGAAACATGAATGAAAAAGCGTGTCCAAACTTTTGAATGTATGTATTTTATTTCTAAATGCGTCTATTTACTTTAATTCTGCCTTTTCATTTAGACTTTAATTACAGTCATGAGACCTCCCTAATTTGCAGGAAGAAAACACTTTCTGTCTAACCGTCCTCACTAATGGCCAGACTATTTCATGCTCTAAGTGACTGACAGGCAGATCCAATGAGATGTGAACTTGTAGAAGAAACACAGTAGAAGAAGACAGCTCCAATTACCCCTGAAAAGCAACATGAAGTGGGCCTTGCTTGATAACTTTTTTAAGAATCGGTGTGGTGACGCATTCTTTGGAACCTTCTTGCAGTGCGGGACTACGAGCTTTTTACTCAGATTAAACCGGGAGTATTGGAAAAGGTAATTTGGTTTCATCTTGTGTGGCTCTCCGGTGTCTGGCGTTCCTGTTTAAACATTCACCTGCTGTCTGCTGTGTCACCCATTGAAACTCTAAACCCAGCCCTGACCCTAGTGTAGCAGCAGCGGAGTAGCTAATTCTTTCTTTAATTCCCAGTGAGAGCTTGCATACGCCTTCTATCTTCACTATCTTTAATTAAATAACTTACGCGAGTGAACGAAGCCATATTGCCCCAGAATGTACCCCGAACAGTAAAACCATGAATCCATAAGAGTAGTCCTGTGGGTTACTGATGATTCCTCATGAGATCAGCCTATTTAATTTAGTTCATTAAAGTAGCGGTATGTGATAATTGAAGTGAGAACATTCATTTGCGGTTGGCTGTCAGAACAGTTTCATGTCAAGCGATTTCCAATAATTCAATTTCAAAATAAATAGATTTCATGCGTTGATGTTAAGTGGGAGTGACTGCAGCAGTAGTGACGGTGGTCCCAGGTCACCTCTCACTGTACCATTTTGTACGGGACGTATTATAATGCCTGTAGGATGGATTTCGACTGGGGAAATAGCCCGGGGTTTCTTAATATAACAATTTTCTGTGATAATTTCTGGTTTAACAGCCTAAATCAGATATTGTTCAAGGGAATGGTTTATATGTATATCTGTCGCAGTGATATTTAGACTGGTATTGATTAGTTTCATAAATGGGAGTTGAAGACATAAGGATTCGGGAGTTATTAAGGATTTTGATTGTATTACTAATTCCAACTCCCACCTAATACATTAAGGTGCACTGCGTAACTTTTTCTGATGGAGGTAATGCCACTTGCTTCTCTCCATGGGAATTAGTTGGTTATTACTTTGCCTAGAATGTTCCACAGTATGGCATTAAACATATATACAGTATCTTCATGGGGACAAGCTGGTGTAGCCATCAAACCATGTTGCAGTCAGATCTACGGAAAAGAGACCCCGATCACAGTAAAGATGCCTGTTTTTCAAGGTACTTTTGTGCTATAAACACAAAAAATCCAGATCAATTCAACACCATATTGTGGAGCATTACTATCCAGGCTGGCGCCACCTAGTGCCTCCTTTTTATCCAGCATCTAGGTCAGGAATCGGAATACACTAAACGGTTTGCAAGAACCCCGGAAGTTGTAAACCATGCACCGGCCAATCAGTGAAGCGCTGTGAAGCCATGACGTCAAACTCAAGCACGTCTTTGGGTCCCTTTTATGGTACAGCACAACAGTAAACAAAGCGGTTGAGATGGATGTAGACGAAGACATACATTCTGTGTTGGCAGCAATTCCCAAGATCGAGGATTTAAAGCTGGAACAAAGAGAATGTTTGGTGAAATTTATCAAGGGGAAAGACATTATTGCGATTTGTTAAATAAAAAAACTACCCGCCTACTGTTAAGTGAACGAATCCTAATGCTGTGAGGTCAGACGGTTTCCACGAAGTGAAACTGGCTGATGAATCAAGCAAGAAAATGACATTCAATACAATAAAATCTCTTTGGAAACAAGTAAGTGGTAGATCCTCCATCAGAAAAGTTACATAACCTTTAAGTATCTTTAACATAATAAATAATGTGAAATGGCCTTACTGAAGTAAATACACTGCAAACAATCACTTGATGTATTACCTTAGTTCCCGAAAAGCTCCAGTTTATTTAAATGCAGCCAAAAGTATACTGGACTAGACTAGATTTAAACAGCCATGCTTCCTTATCGTTTGGCACTTGCTGTTTGTTTGGGAATACTATGGTAATGGATATGTTCAGACCAGTTTTACCAATGGATATTTTCTTATTCTTCTCAAGAGTCAAAAGTCAAGACAACCCATTTTTAACATCATTTAGTGGTGGCAGTCCAACCATTTTGTTCCCATGGCAACACCTGTCTGTGAAAGCGGACCTTTTTTTATTTTTTTTGTCTTGAACAAAGTGTGAAAAGTAGAATCCTGTTATATAATTACACTATACCCTGCAGCACTAACATGCGCACATGAAAGAATCACATTTCATCTGCACAGTTCAAAGGGTTTACGTGTATTATACCATTGTTCACAGTTTGACTCAAAACACAAAACGCACTGGTGTGACTGCAGACATTAACTGCAACTTTAGCCCAGCTGAAGCACCCATAGCTCACCGCCATTTATTAATATCACTTCTGCCGCTGTTATTTTTATTTCCAACGTTAGTGAGCTAAAGCCTGGTGTCCATTTGCCTCACCGCCCACTGTGATCTGCTCTTGTCTTTTGTGGACCACGGCATGAGCCCATTAGACACACATTCAGCGCAGTGGATTAAATAAGTACCTGGTCGGGTGGTACATCGAGACCTTGATTCTCTTTCATGTAGCTTGCATAACGGTGTAGTGGGCTCGGTGGATGGTCAGTGTGTTATGTCTGCTATGCAATTTTCTGTTTTACTCATGAGTATCATTTCTGGACGGAGTCAGGGCTTTTTGTGTGGAGTTTGCATGTTCTCCACTTGTCAAGCTAATCGTCCGTGTAATCCACAGAGGAAGTGACCAGATATAGAGAAAGGTATGTGATTCAATGCAGTCCACACCTCCAGGTATATTTTTTAAGAGGTAACAGTCCACAAGAGTCAGTTTTGTGTAATATATCATCTTTAAACATCCATAGGCAACACTATCAATTGCTGCATTTAAATAACCTGGAGCTTTTCGAACAGCACGGTAATACATCAAGTGATTGTTTGCAATGTATCTGTAAGACAATTTCACATTATTTATTATGTTAAAGATACTTAAAGGTGGATTATGTAACTTTTCTGGTGGGGGGTCTGCCACCTGCTTGTCTCCAAAGAGATTTTATTGTACTGGCTGTAACAAGAGAAAAGCAGTTTTTGACTGATATCTTTAGCATTTTTTATCCTAACAACATGGAAATTGGCACTGCACACTCACGTCCCATTAGGATGTCTCCCTCCGAATTTGAGATCAGTCGAATGAGCGGTTCGAGAGTTATGCATGGAACAGACAAACAGACGGACAGACGTTCCTTGAATTAATAGATAGATAACAATAACCGGAATATTGTGATACTGTATCGTCAAAGTTCTCACACTAATATCATGGACCATCACAATATATCGAATTACAAGTCACTTTGCTTAAATTATGGTGCAGCAATAGCAAAAAAAAGACAGAGGGAACTACATAGACCATGATCCTTTGCTCCATTTCAGCGCAGACTACAAGAAGAAATAACAGTTCTAAGCACTTTTAAGTCTTTGGATTAAGTCTTGTCAAGGCATTTTAAGAGGAAAAAGTTGCATATTAACAATTTTGTGAGCCTCCACAAAATATCACAATAAATATCGTACTGTGAGATGTATATCGTGAAAATATCGTACCGAGAGATTTGGATATTGTTACATTCCTAATCGTGAGCCTTCCCACCATATCATGAGCTTACCCAAGACATTGCTATGAACATTGTACCGTGAGGTTCATGCAGTGACGATATCGTATTGTGAGACTTGGATATCTTTATACCTCTAATTATCAATCTAACTGCTCACCAGCCGTTGGAAGCTGGCAAACTCTATGGATATTATGAATGCTTTGCAAATACTTCAACTAGACTCCAAGAGTACACTGTGCATAAAAGAGACTTAATTACAAATGTTGTTTTTATCCATTTTTATTTTACACAACATAACAACACAGTACATGTTGTCTTTTCTGTACAGAAGCTCCCAATGAGCTTGTGACCACCACAGGCTGTAGTAAACCCAGTCAGGAAACAGCCCATAAGGTTATTTTTTTTTTTTTATACTTCCCTTTAAAAAATATCAATTTCATAAGAGTTCTTTAAAAGTCTGTGTTTGCCACCATTGTCACCTGTCTACAACCGTCCATATTCCTTTGTAAGTAAAAAGGCTATGTGTGAAATCTCTTGTCTCTTATTTGTCCCCTCTGCCCTAACCCTTCCATTATGAAGCTGTGAGGTTCTACAAAATCCAGTTCTTTTGACTGTCAGGGAGTGAAGGAACATTAGTGCAAAAGAAGGCACCGGCTGCTTTCCTCTTGCCGACGAACAACACTTTTCTGTGGATTGTGAAGTGTGCTTGTCAGTCCCATTTGGATGGATTCCTTTTTTCCTGTAATGGTAAATCCCTTGCTGTTGAACTGTCCGGATACGGTGAGTGTGTATGACGTGGCCCATTGTCTTGTTTTCATTTGTGCTATAAAGTGGTACCAACGAGACAAGGCAGAGCATGGACTCACCCAAAGACCCACTTCAAACAGAAACGGAGTGAGAAATGTAAACGAAATACAAAGAGTTGTGGACAAAAGCGATGAAAATAATAAAAAAAGAGTCACATGTTTGAGCACACACTCACTCCCTCACACATCTAAAATGAAAAACACTCTAAACGGCAAGAAACCACTTGATCACCTGAAACCAAAACACACACGTCATACAAAAGCAGATAAACCAGCGTGTGGTCGCCATCTTGTTTGTAGTTCAAACTGTGCTCTCTAAGATCCAGTCCGAATCGCAGCGGCCTTTTTCAGAGTCCTCGGCCTCTTTAGCGAGTAGCATTGCACTCATTGATTGGCTCCTCTTGTTCCTCATTATACGTCCTAGCTTAGGAGCAGCCCCCTGCTGGAGCGTGCTAGTCTTTGAGCCCCCTTCACTGAGGGAGTACCTCCGGCGAGCCCGGCTGCGGCCCCCATCCTCCACAGGGAGAGTCTGGTACTTGGCAGAGCAGGAGGAGGAGGCGCGAGGGGCCCGGCGGAGGATAGGAGTGTCCCTGAAGCGAGGGCTCGGACTGGGCAAAGTGAGTGGGCTAAACACTGAAGGGGACTGGTTCAAAGAGGTGGAGTTGTTCCGGTTGGTGTTGAGGTTTTCCAGAGGGGTAGAGAGAGGGAGGAGGGCAGAGGAAGGACTGGAGGAGGCAGCAGAGGAGGGGCGAGGGAGGGCTTCAGTCAGGACGGTGGAGGACGAGGCGTTGGAACAGGAGGAGCCCGGTTTGCTGGGCGCTGGTTTGCGTTTTGGTTTGGGCAGTGAGCCAGTGGAGGAGGGAGAGGAGACCTGAGCCCTCTCACCAGTCAAGGTCTTCTCATCTATAGCCACTGTGGTTGTAGTGGGGCTCTTTGCTGTCCACGTCTGCCCCATGCCTGAGGTGGAGCAGTCGGGCAGTGGAGACTCAGAGGACTGGACCACAGTGTCTTTGGCCCCTGCTCCTGCCCTTTTCTTGGAGCTCCCAGAGGAGAGATCGTCCAGGCCAATGGAGCCATGTTTGGAGGAGCTGGGAGTGACCGTGCAGCCCTGAGACTGGGGCCCGTTGGTCTGAGAGTGCACATTTGTCATGGACAGGGAAACTCCTTTGCCTCCATCTCCAGGGTTACACACCTAAGAGAGACACAAGCGAGGCCATGAATGATTTTTTTTTTAAACCATTTCAGCATTGCATGTTACACCAATGACAAAGTATGTTTTACATATATTAATGTGTGCTCATTAATATAGTCAGTGTATAATGGAGATACAAACAACATTATCTCCAAAATCCACAGCTAGCCTTAAAGGCAATGAAATAGAGGCACAGATAAAAGGCAGAAATATTACCTTTTCAAGATTGTTCTTTTACCTTCTGTCAGCTGTCAGTTTTCTAGCAACAGGTGCACTTAATCTCTCACTTTCTCTCTCATATTCATCAAGCCATTTCAACTACACGCGGCAACATCTATTATTTGGAAACTTTATTTTCTCTTCTTTTTCAGTATCAGGTTAAAATTTCTTCTTATAATACAAAAAAGGGTGCAACGCTATAGGTTATTTACCTGACAAAGGTGGAAGTCTGACTGAAATATGTCAGGTAAATAAAAATAAATAAAGGTAAAGATAATAGCGTTTTGCATTTTTTTGTTGTTTCATTAAAGGAAAATGGAAGTTAATATGCAACTCTGCACCAGCAAATGAAACGGTCCAATGAGGTTTATTTGGTCTTTCGATAATTTATTAGTTTTTTTTTTCAGACCAAAAGTTTGTTTTCATACCTGACAGTTTCGACTGCTCACTAGTGGTCTACCTCAGAGTAGTAAAGTGATGTTACTGTGACATGTCCGGCCCAAAAAAAACAAACCCCGTTCCTGGACTAAAGAAGCAATCAAAATACAGAAACATGCCCACGGGACTATAAACCAGGACGAGGGGGCTTTGTTCCTCTCACACACCTGGGATACTCTCCTGAGGAAGTCAGACTGCAGGTGGCGCTGTCGTACTGCCTCTGGTAGGAAGACAGTACCAAAACCTGTTTAAATCAGCTGAGCGACACGTCACAGCAACATCACATGGCCACTCTTAAGAAGACTAAACTGTCAAGTACGAAACTCTTGGTCTGAAAAAATAACCTAATAACATAAAGCAAATGAAACAGTCACCTTAGCCATTCCATTTCTTTTTCACCATCACCAATGTTTAAACGGAGATGTACCTTCACCACAATCAACCTCTGTGTTTATCTCACCTCACTTTTTTCAGATCTGCATACATATCCCCTGGTTATATGATAAATCTTACAAACAAGTGTTGAATTTTATAATGAAAGTGAAAGTGAGTGAGAACCCCACCTTGTATCTTATCATGAGGATGATGATGAAGACCAGCACAGAGGCCACGATGATCCCTCCAATAATAATGATCATGGTCCCGCCGAGAAACTGCGACTGCATGAACTGACACCTCATGTACTCGGACTCTGTGGAGAACTGAACACAGCCCACCACCCGTGTCGCCGTCAGGGAGGTGATCACGTCATCGTAAATGGCCAGAACGCACAGGTCATACTGGGTCCCCGCCGCCAGGTTGTTCACCAGAAAGTTCTTGCTTGATGGAGGGATCATTCTGTGGAGACAAGAAAAGAGAATCAGCTGTTGGTGAAGAATTAAACTGGGAAGTACAGTATGTTATCCAAAAACTATCATTCTGAGTCAGTAAAATAATAGGTTGAAGGGCCTGTACCTGATTGTAATTTCTTCTGGCTGAGATAAATGGCCTTTATATCAATCAGTGTATTGTAAATGTAGATAACTGAGAAAACCAATAAATAAAAGAGAAGCTATTGGTTACCTCTTTCAATATCAAGAGTGAAAACACTAAGTGGGTAGAGCCTGATGAGAACCATGTCAAAATAACTGCATGACATTATCCTAGGTGTACAAGTACTTTTGTCTTGCAGCTGCTCTGTATTACTGAACATGGCACATTGAGCAAGAGGCATGATGAAGTGCTTTTTTTTAAACAACGAGTTATACAGTCTTGTTATTTATGTGGGTAAGATGTCATGCCCAGGGACACAACAACAATGCTTGAACAAGGTTGTGCAGTAATGGGTTATTACACAATGTGAAATAGAAGAACTCTTCAGAAACCTTATGACCACAACATGAGCAACAAAGCTAAGACAGACCACATTCCGAAAATAGATACAAGGTTAAAACAGGAAAAAAAAAAAAAAATCTGGGAAGGAAGTTTCACTGAAGTATCACAGACTCAGCTCCACTGTGAATAAGTGCTGCTGAATCCTCCAAAACAAAACCCAAAAGTCATCAGTAGGACAACACTCTAATTAAATGATTTATTATGGTGCAAATCCCTGTAGCAGATGCCCTCCCAGATTTTTACTATCCTGATCGCAATGAAACTCCCATCGAGAGCATTCCAGGGCACGGAAAACCAGGCCAGATCTGATTCTATAGTCTTTTCGATGATAGTTTGAGCCTATGCCACTCGTCTCTCCCTCTCCAGATCTTTGTCACATCGGTGGCAGTATGTGTGCATTTGTCCTCCAGTTTCTCCTGTCAGCTTTTCCCAGGATTGGCTCATTAAAATGCTAATGCAATTCCTCATTAAAACCAAAAGAGGGCTGGCGAGTTCGCAGGACCGACGCCCCGGGTGCGCAGAGGAAGAGCTGAGGCGCATTTGGCCAGGTTAAAGCACTGGGTTTCCTCTTGCACTTTAATGAGAGTTGGGGGGAGAATTAAAATGTGTACGACAGATTTTCAGTTTTTTTTTTTTTTTTGGTTGGTTGGAAAGTCCATGTGGTAAATATTTATCATAGTTTTACACCATTCAAGTGGCAATTTTTGGAAAAAAAAATTGGAGAGTAATTTTAAAATTGAAAATTCCATCCAAAAAGCTGGCCAGGCAGAGAGAGTGAAAGCGTTTAAACAAATAATTACCATTGTGTAAATTCAATGAGCTTTGGCCCTTTTTTACAATATGGTTGCTAGGAAACAGTTAGGGAATTACCTCTGCTGCCCATGTCCAAACAAAAAAGGGAACGCTAGATTTTATTTGAGTGAATATAATGATGTTTACTGTATGATTTAGTGAAATTAACTTGCCATATATCCACTTTACCTTTTTATCATGAGCTCGAGCAGTGTGAGACATTATATATGACCTCATGAACATCATCTTAGCATGAATACATCATCTTAGCTCACCCCTTGCTGTTTCCATCCTTGCACTAGTGAACCTTGTCCACTGAAACACCCTCACCCCAGAGTACGGTGTCATTATTTGTGCGAGGAGACACAGAAGTCACATTGTAGGGTGCAGATTAATCAGAAGGACTATTCTTACTTCAAGGTGTTAGAGCAGGGTGATATAGACTGATTTTCTTTTTTTAAATGAATTTCTTGAACATGTATAATACTCACTATTAATCATTTCAATTTAAATAGTGAAATATCTTCCAAAGTCTTAAAGGTGCACTATGTAACTTTTTGTTTAGGGGTCCAACACCTGCTTGTTTTTATGCATGTCATTTCTCTGCCTAGAATGTTCCACAGTATGACATTAAACAGCTCTATCTTACATTTAGTCAATTCCAGGTGGTTTTATAGCTCAAAAAAACTAGAAAAACAGGCATTCTGACTTTAAGCGGGATTGCCTCTCCACAGATCTGACCTGTAACTTGGTCTGCTTTGGTCTCCATGATGATAGAAAGGTTTAATTTCAGACAAAACAATTATGTCTCCATGGATAAAAGCATTTCACGGACCTTCCACCAAGAAAAGTTACACAATGCACCTTTAACTCTGCTCCAAATCACACACTTTTACTAGCAGAGGATTTGCTGTAGATCTCCTAAATAAAAAGACCAAAGCAAATTAGAAATCTCAATTACATTTGATTACCTGCACCAGCTACTGTATATTTGCATACACAGGCAAAGCAGACAGAGATTCATTTGGCTGTTATTGCCCCAGCCTTGAGCTTCATGCAAGAGAAGAGTGTAAAGCAAGTTTCTGCAGCACTTTTTACTGTTTGTCAGTTTTGTTTGATGCAGAGTTTAACAATGTCAGAGGCACAAATAGAAAGCATTGTTTACCAGGATATGAATAATACATGACTCTGAGGAATGCATTTATAAATCCTTTGTATAGCATATAGAACAACAAATAGCTATATGTCTACAGAATAAAGGTTTATAGAATCCTGCAGTCTCTTCCCAAATGTGAGCACTGACTTTTGCGAATATTTATTTAGATTTCTGGATGTCATTGACTTCTGTGAAAGAATGAATTGAACTTTGAGGGACCTTACCTGGAGATAAAGTAATAAATAGCAAAAACATTGTGACGATGTTAGAGATGCTGAGACTAGTATCGAAAGTAGATATTCACTCTGACAGGTGACATTTCTAAAAAAGCATCAGAACAGAAATTAACCTTTCGCTTTAGAATGATCTTGTGCTGTATTAGAACAAGAATAAGAGCACATAGACTAGTATACGCCCATGGACTACTATGGAACATACTTCGCCAGGCTGGTGCCACCTATTGCCTCAGCTCAATTTCATTTCTCTCCTGCGACTAGGTCAGGAATCGGAACACACTAGACGGCTTACAAGAACCCCGGAAGTTGTAGACCGCGCACCAGCTAGTCAGCGAAGAGCTGAACCAACCTGGGTTGCGATAGCAGACTGCATACGCTATCCTCCTTTGGACTTCCTTTGTCAAATACAAACTTCTCATTTTTTATTGCACCTTTAATTCGCAAGTTCACCTCGCAGAAACGACAATGATCACTCTCTGCTTTGTTTGCTGCTGTGCCGCCAATTACGCGGACACCACTGAGTTTTCCGGCGCATTACATACATCACGACCAAATAGCAGCGATAAAAAAGTACTTGCCTACCGTTGAGCGAACGAATCCTAATGCTGCGAGATTAGACACACCTGGATGACTGGGGGATTCCATGATAATATGAAATAAACTATAATTTAATGTTGAAAATCACATTCTATTGTCTAAAGAAAGAGTGTTTTCAATTATCATCATGGTATTGGAATCTGTATTCAGTATCGAGTTTATTCTATCTATCTAAGCACACACTAGGACAATTCTTATGTACTGTACAGCAAATATAACACAAGGAACAGGTACAGTTGCAATGTAGATGTCTAAGATGTTTTTTTTTTAAAGAATTAATGAGAAGACCTTTTGTAGATGCATAGGAAAAAGGAACACTATCTACCTTAAACGCCACTGAAATTATAACCAGTTTCTTTCACATTTGCCCTGACCGAGTGTGCAGGTGTTGGAGTTTTACAGAAAAAGCTGAAGCTAAAAGAAACAGGAGAAAACCCACTCAGACACAGGTGGGAGACGGAAAATCCATATGGGAAAGACCACCCAGCTGTGAGGGCAGGAGAGCTACCCTAATGCCTCTTACATGCCTCTTATAAACCTCACAGCTTTTGGCAAGAAAGGCAAAAATAAGACAAAAGGAGCTACATTTGATAGCACCATAACACATAACTGTAACATCTTCTGGGAGCACACAAAATCAAAGGCGTCTATACCGCTTGTGACAGAATCTTCCGCTAATGAACTCCCCATTGCACAGCTACGATTTACAACCCTTAGCAGGCACATCGAGATATTGGCAGTGTGGTGCGCTGTATTGAACTATGCCCCGCCACATGCTGAGTCCACAAAATACATTTATATCATGCAAATCCGATGAGATGATTTTCTTTTTTTTTTTTTGTACTCCATATGATTACTTCCTGTCTGTCGGAGCTGTCAGGGTTGCGAGGCCACCCACACGGACTCATTCATAGCGGTTCATTTCGTGTGTGGTGGAATGGGGTCGCTACTGTTTGAAGGCCTACAGAGGGCAGATGATTGCTTTGGCGGAGATCATTGCACTAATCTATCTGAGGGACAGTGCCAAGGCTTCAGTCTCGTGTGTGTGTGATTCATATGAACAGACATCTCATTCACTGTATCCATATGTGTGTGTTTGTGTGTGTGTGTTTTGTGAGAGCCTTTCAGGAACCGTAATCTAGCCTCATAATTGTCAATGAGCCTGGATCCCTGCCATGGCAAATTATATCAATCAAAAAGGTGTGCTCACAAAATTGAAAAAAAGAAGGTGCTAAAATGATGCTAAAAACATCTGTACTAACAGCTAATTTGATTCATTTGGGTTAAAGTCTCAAAATCTGGGGAACAGTACAGTGCAAGAAAGTTACCATGGCAATTATGAGTAGTCTAAACAAAAGATTCCCAGAGCTTAAGGTTTGATGACCACAAAACCTAAATCTGAAATGGCATGGGAGCTTATCGTGCGTTTCAACTATACCTTCTTCAGTATTCCTGGGTTTAAGCTTCCATTTCATTTCTCTCCAGCGACTAAGTCAGGAATTGGAATACACTAGACGGTTCGCAAGAGTCCCGGAAGTTGTAGACTGCGCACTGGCCAATCAGTGAAGAGCTGTGAAGCCATGACATCAAACTCAAGTGCCTGTCTTGGTTCCTTTTGTCATACAGCACAACAGTAAACAAAGATGGATGTAGACGGAAACATACATTATGTGTTGGCCATG